CACAGTTGACCTTGACATAAAACAGCTCTTGTTCAGTTGTTACAATTTATCCAAGTACAGAATCTACAACAGGAAGGGAAAAGGTGACAGGGGTCGATGGAAGCCGTCTTCTGGGTCTTCAAAAGTCACAAGTTTAAATTGATGGGCATCTAGTGGAGGATGGATCAACAAAGATAATTTTTAAGACTGTTGGAAAATATCTCTGGGTCTGCCACTGAGTGGTATTTTGTATGGTTTGTATTTCAGGAAAGAAAAGAGTGCCCAGCTGAGTGGCCTGAAGCCATACACCATGTACAGGATAGCTGTCCGCTCCTTCACCCACAACGCCCACAGTGAATACAGCAAGGAAGTCATGTGTAGGACAAAAGAAGGAAGTGCGTATATCATCAACAGAGATGGACATTTACTTAAAACCTGATCATATCAAAACTTATATTCTTATAATTATATTCTTCTCGTGATAAGTGTTTGTTGATTCTAAAAGAATGGTTTACTTTTCAGAGCCTGGTATGCCAAAAAATCTGAAGGTGACTGTGAGGAGTCCAACATCAGTGGAAGTGTCATGGCAGGCCCCAGACAACCCAAATGGAATAATACGGGAGTATACTGTCCATTACAAATATCAGGATCAAGGATCTGCATCATTCAGAATATTGAATGGTACAGTTTTTTTTTTTACATTTTTGCATACAGACATCTTTGTTAACAAAACAGAATTTTCTCTTTCACAGGGGTTAAGATTTTTTGTTAACTACAAAGAAGATTCTCATCATTTTTTAACTCTTTTCTCCATCAAACTTTTTCCATTAAATTCTGTTTTTTCATGTACTGTGTATAAAACTCTAACAGGCAAAAGTAATATTCACACTAGCAGAGTGATTAGGCAAGCATTCAAGTTCAGACCATCATTTTCCACCAGTTCTATTAACTGTCATATTCACCATTTCCTAGGCTCAGCAACATTTGCAAAGCTGGCCCAACTGCACCCAGGCAAAGTGTATCAGGTGGAAATACAGGCTTCTACCAGAGCAGGCAATGGGCCTCGCAGTGAAAAATTGGAGTTCAAGTTGGAGGTACCTCCGCCTAGTGAACCAATAGGTAATGTCACAGAGATTGTGGTAGTATTGATGGTATTATTGTGTGTTAAAGATTACAAACTTGGACATGTTGTGAATTGCGCAGTGGGATCATGGTATGTATTATAGCTGTGTAAGTTCGCAGTTTTGAGATCAAAAATATGTAAGCCATCTGAATTGCACTTCCTGGTAACCATGAGTTGGTATTTTCGTGTGTGTGTGTGTGTGTGTGTGTGTGTGTGTGTGTGTGTGTGTGTGTGTGTGTGTGTGTGTGTGTGTGTGTGTGTGTGTGTGTGTGTGTGTGTGTGTGTGTGTGTGAGTGAGTGAGTGAGTGAGTGAGTGAGTGAGTGAGAAGGTTGAGGAAGTTGAAGGATTTTGTGTATAATATGAATAAGATTGTCATTGGTATGATAATCATGAAAAGGATTGTTCATATTTCGTTCCATTAGGCAAACTCCTTATTATCTCTCATTTTAGACAACCTGGATGACACCAAAGTTGGTATTATAGCTGGGGTCTCTATTGGCATTGTGTGTGTGGCTATCTGTATTGTCCTCATCATATTGAAAGCAAGGTAAGAGTCATAACACCACAATATGATGAGAGTGTGCAAGAGGATATGTCCAGGAGTTGTTATCAGTATGGACAACCTCAACTCATTTGTTTGGTATAATATTTGTACTGACTTCATGAATGAAAATATATTTGTAGAAGATATAACCATGCACATTTTGATATTTTAAAAGGAACTGGCAGTGTTCCAGGTTGAGATGTTTTGAAGAGGAAACTATACAAATTGTGATATATTTTTAGGAACCGTCAACGACCTAGTGAGCCAGAAGCTGTGCGTTATTATGGCAATGGCCATCTACCTCAGTCAAACGGTGGCAATTTGTACCACCAGTGTACGGCAAATGGGCATGAAGATAGCATCACACCCATGTTACCAGCAAACTGCACAACTGCTGATGACCCCACAGTATGAACATTTTTTATGTACAGACACAGATGTGTCTGTACATATAGCCATCATCTGCGTCTGTCGTCGCCGTCGCCGTCGTCGCTGTCGCCGCCGTCGCCGTCGCCGTGCACTTTTACCGATAACACGATAAGTGGAAAACCATTTTACCTTTTGACTTGAAACTTGCAGAACTGATGAATATTCATAATACGCAGGTCAAGTTCGAAAATCAGCATGATCGGGTCACTTTTAGGGAATTTATGCAGTTTTTTCACTTTTTTCAGCATATATGCAGCACCGATAACACGATAAGTGGAAAACTATTTTACCT